GGGGGGGGGGGGGAAAGAATCATACTTTGAAGCACTCCCGAATCTACTGGTACTGAATCAGATGTTTGAACACTCAGGAACGTGGTAAACGGATTTTAATCAATAAAAGTAAGTCTTGGACAGAGAAACAGTGATTCGTAAAACAACATAACCATGTAGCATGAGGATAAATATGGTTCTGTGAACACAGTCAAATGAGTTGTTGCAATGAAGGATACTGTACCATGTCTCCCCCAGGAGGTGGTGAGACAGAGTTCACTAACTGACCTATAAAGTTAGATTTTCACGGACATGCGTTTGACTTGCTGTCAGAAAAGTTGCATCTGCGGGCAACATTCGTGGTGACAACCATTGATTGGTGAAAACTTGAGGATGACTGGTTTGTGAAACAGTACGGTCGATGTACTGAAATGAGTAGGTTGTGGTCGACTTTCTGGTCAGATCACACAAGGGACGTGACAGACACCATGGATACACTATGTTTTGAATCCATATCATAACCGATTTAATCTTACACGTTGATTTAATAGAACAGTTTCCGGAACTGGAACACTGTGATGAAAGTTGACGAAAACTAACTACACCTGTCTATGACTTCACACTTAAGCCAATGAACGGGCAAACGACTCTTGCTGCTGTCACGTGAGGCAGTGTTTACAGACGGATGAGTCACATAAATAGGAGAAACGTGGACAACGAAAAATCAGAAGCGGTCAAGAATACTTACCGTTCTCTGTATGACAATTTTCGACAATCGTATCCGTAGATGCAGACCACGTCAAAGACGTACAAGGCATGTCGCCTCATACCATTCTGGTTAAAGAAGACAAACAATACGGAAATGCGACAGATAAGTTTGCACAAACAGACGAACTTGTATGTACGCATCATCATGCAGATATCATTAAAACTTACAAACATATTCGACGTGGCAAAAGGTTCACTTACTTTGGCCAAATATTCACAGGTAGATTGACCCCAGAGCAAAGTCCCCGGAGGCAAACGAGGACAACAATGTTGGGTTATCTGTTCCAAAGGTTTCCAATCATCCCCATCCACAGAGACAAACTTTTCATGCGAACGGATAAAAAGGATTGGAGTCAAAGATAAACAGATATTAGCGAGAATATGAACAACATAATACTGCGATCAAAATGCGAGACGAATTATCCCCGTGTTCATGTGAGTATTCAGGACAGCACGAACTTTATCAAGAAACGATGTGATTGTTGAATCTTACCTGCTTGAACGACTGTACTGTTCTCTATGTAGTCAGCCAACCAGAAATCTTTACTTTCATTCGAGCTGTTTGTTCTTCGGCGAAGGTGGGTCGGCTTCACGAAAATTATGAAGTTTTGCACAAACGGAGTACCCGGCGTCACCCGACTTCCTTTTCGAGGGCGCATCTCTAGCTCCTGCACCGTTGAGTCCGTAAAATGCAAGGGGACAGTGTGTTCACGTGTAACCGAGGTGGCTCTCTAAGTGCACCTATACTATTTGACTGATAGGGACTCAGCGCAGATACCCCGGTATCCCAACCGATTGAACAAACTTTCTTGACAGACGTTGGATCAGATAGTAGATCTCGTCCGCCCACTAAGGAGCAGATTTCTTTGTATGCTACATACCATCTAGTCAAGGTATTCTAGGAATCGATTACTTTTTATCTACCGTAGTCCATTTAACCAGTGGTTCGACCGGGAGTAGACCGTTAATGCAAGTCCCGGCTCCTTGGAGTTCCACATGGGAGTTGAGTAAATAGAATGAAGAGGTGCAATATGTCCCAAGGGACACTAGAGTCTACTAGATTACTGATATTGGACAACCCCTAGACCTAACTGTTATATAGGCTTGTATTAGGAACTTCGCTGTGGTACAAACTTGAAAATGCATGGATGCTTTGGAACCACATCACGAAACTAAACGATCGTTTGGGGAATTCGGCGATCTGGCTGGATGCCATAAAAATGGTTCTTGTATATAACCGTTAAACTTCTGCAAACATCTAATCTAGCTACATCGTATATGTTTACCTTTATATCACTCCCAGCTTAACATCTATTCCTGGTTGACCAAATGAGTAGTGGAAAAACTGCAACAATTAGTATACTAAATGAATCAGAATTAGGATATGATGGGATCTGCCAATCCAGATCTCGATATTAGGTTTGCCAGTTTATGAAGTCATGCACCCAGAACGGCAGAGTTTAGGGTTCATTTTTTAACTGTATTCGATGAGCAAAACCTTAAAGTTAAAAAATAACCACTAAACAAAAACTTGAACTTCAACCGGGTAAGTTGCTTTCGTTGATATGCGTGTTCGAATTTGGATATTAAGTAGACGGCAACTGACAGAACATCTTACGGGTCCCGGATTTTGGCAACAACACCCCTTAACAACTCTCTTCCATCATAGCTCGAGTAAATACGCTCAGAAACAAGGCGGAAGAAACAACATTGCGGTATAGGATAGCAAACCTAGAGAAAATCAGTAAACCGTCCATCTGACGCCACCAGCATAAGTCTGTTCCACTGACTTATTACAACAACCGCATATAACGGTTACTTGAATGCTTTACGGACAATTTACTCAACTGACAAATACTCGGTTAAACTGCAATTGATAACTATGCTAAAGAGTGTATTCACCATGAATTTTAGGTGCAAAACAATACGTTACGCGAATAGGGAAAGCCCGAGTAGCGTTTGCCAACCTGCGACACTTTTGGTGCAGCTATAAAATTCTGCTTTTCTCACGATGCATATCACTGCGGTTGGCAGTATTGCTTTATGAAGGAGAGATCTGGTCTATCCGAGGTGAAGATGTCAATCGAATTTTTGTATTCGATCACCACTGTCTTCGAAACTTCCTGTTGTGTAGTTGCAACAATCAGGGAGCAGTGTCGCGCATCGGGTGCTGATGATCATTCTCTCAAAGAAGAAAACGGTTTATGTCACCTACGATGGTTCGGTTATGCTTTGCCTGTGTCAACCTACTGTCTACCTCTCCGCACTCTCAATACACATGCAATGTGGGGTTATGAAAAAGTTGTCTTCAGTTTTGACTGTGATACGAGCTTCCCATTATCCGGGTTGGGATCCTAGAGAAGAGGACTAGAAATCAATAACGCAAATATGTTGTGTGCATAAGTAGGAAACACAAAACGGACATAAGTATAAAAAGCGCTTGAAAAAACACACCGACATGTTTTTTTATTACACACTTCAGTGTCCCATAGGGTGCTTACGCTTTGGTTCGGAACACGATTCACAAGATCACAGCTAGTCCATGTAAGTAAAATAGTAATGTAATGATTTCGAAGAGCACATGATAATATATTATGCAGTTGTGTGTTGAATCATACTGTTTGCCACAGTATCGTCAAGCTGACGCTTGAAAGATACTAATGTTGGGAAACGGACCACATGAGGTGTTAAAGTTTCATGTGCTGCACACTCTGACTGCAAACGAATGGCGTCTGCAGTCGAGACGGCTCTTTTGGAGTGCCAACTTCAGTGGATGCCCTCTGAGATGAACATTGGTTGGTAGAACCAAATGTCTACATGGATGGTTGGGCTGTTGGAAAATTAGATACAGTAAGTTCATATCACCTCTGATTTAACGATATTGAGACGAGTATAGCCCCAATAGCTGTAATCTTTCGCCATAGGTCTTGGAATGTAGACCTTTGACCATTTTGGTAGCCATTCTCTACGGGTGTTCGAGCGCCTTCCAATCACGCTGTAGCCATGGGTTCCAAGCCTGAATTGAGTACCCGGTGTATGGAGGGATGAATTGTGGCTAACAAACATGCAAACAAAGCCGGCTCAAACGATCCAAAACACGTTTGAGCAGTCCAACCTGTTTTACCACCATGGATGATGCCTTGGAACAGTTTGTGGAGCAACTCAAGTCTGTGCGAATGACTACTCCCAAATCCTTATCGGATGGAGCATGAGATAGAATTTTGTGTCCGAGAGTGTAGGAAAAACGACCATTATGACGTAGTGGTAAGACTTTACATTTGGTAACGTTGAATTTCATATCATTGGAAGCAGACCATCTGTGGGTTTCGTCAAGGGTGTTCTGGAAATCAAATGAAGCTTCTGGTTTTGTTATAGTCCCCCATATTTTGGCATCGTCTGCAAACAGCAGAGTTTGTGGTCCGAGGACGTCTAGAAGATAATTTATAATGACAAGGAAAAGACGTGGGCCTAGCACATATCCCTGTGGAACCCCACGATTGACATCTATTGGATCAGTGAGCGAATCGGAAACAAGAACTGACAAGGTACGTAGGCGAAGAAACTCCTCGATCCAGCCAAGTCTGAGTCCACGGATTCCATAGTTATACAGCTTCCGTATTAGCATTTGATGATTTACCATATCAAATGCTTTAGTGAAGTCCAGGTGAATAACATCTACTCCTTTGCTTTTGTCTATAGCATGAATCCAATTGTCCCGAGCTAAAACCAAGTAAGTTGCGTATGAACGATTTTTTTGAAACCCGTGCTGGGCGGGGGGTTGTAAGTCATTATTCTCCAGATGATTCATTACAGAATCTGTAACAATGGATTCCATGATTTTGGACAACACTGGAAGAAGAGCGGGAAACCCCATAGTCATGAGGACCTGCTGTTCAGTGACGGAAACCGGTAACCTAAGACTCGGGACTTGGAGTGGCGAACCACATAAGGCCCTGTTAGGTTAGCCGTGGTATTGAATCGGACGACAGCAAGGCTGCCTACCACCAAAGTTGGATGACAGTGGCGGGGCTCGAACCTCGAATCGTAGGACCCAAAGCATATCGGTGACAGCGACTAAACCACTGCGCCACCACTTGGTTTATTTGTAAAGTAATGCTAAGTGAATCTTTTCGTTTCTTTTCCCGTTTGTACCTAATTCATCCCCTTTTTATTTTCATTGATTTTTTCGTTGGCACCATGCTTGTTGCCAAGTTTAGTTGACGAGTCACACAACAACAAGCGACTAACAAAATAGGGGCACGTCGAGAAATCCGTGATCAATAGTGCCAGATACACTTCGCTTATCTGGAACGGGTCGTAATGTGCTGGAGCAGCCACCACCATCAAGAGCATTCATGCTACGGAGGGGGGGGGTGAACATCGAACAGAAATACCGCACACAGAGCAACGCACGTCTATTTCGAGCAAATTTCGGTCCACATGGAGAGGAGGATCAAAAACGAGTCCGGTGGGAGCACGTAGCACGCAGAGACTTACATTTCCATTTCGACCACGGGAATAGATAAGCATAGGCTCGGAGGGCCCAGTTGCGGTGAACATGGACGGAGATCCACAAACGAGAGCAATACGACTCTCAATCAGATAGTCGAGCATAGCCAGATGGCGATTATTGAACCGCTCAGTTCTGTACTGACAATAATAGTCTTTTGGAAGCATATTTAGGGATTTCAGTCTTTCCTTGTCCTGAGAAGATAGAGCATTGGATTAGTGTAATCGATTAGAGCCGTAAAGCATGTGAGGGAAGGAGACTAACCGAACATAACGTAAAATATCTCTAAATAAATCAGGAATAGTTTACAAGTTTACGGGACTAACATAAAATGTTTGGACTGGGGAAAGCAATGTAACATCTTGTATATAATTATCTGATTGGGAGAACGCAGTAGCCAAGTAATGGAGGAGCTTTTCCGGAAGAGAACATACGAAATTTAAGTATTGTGTAACGGTATAATCGGGTTAATATTTGCTCGTTTCGTGCATTAAAATTAAATGGCGATGTATGAAAGGAATCAACTATACACATGTTAGTGTGCAGGGTGAGAAAAGTAGGCTACTGTGCTTCAAGTAGTACAAATTAACATAGTCCAGCGTTGGCTCACAGCATCGATCCAACAGGACCAGCTATAAGATTGGGCATAGAGGGATAACAATGGGAAGAGGTAAATCAATCTGCAGGTGAGGGTTCGTTTGACTTTAACTCACACCAATTAAATCGTGGATAACCGAAGAACGGTTGGAGGTCATCAGTGGCCAGGGAACCGGTTTTCGTTCAACAGCATCCACCTCGAATCGGATAGGCACGACGAGTATCGTCCACGTTTGGGGAGTGAAAAAGCACAAAATGAATGAAGGTCATTCAATAATGAAGAGAACGAGGCAATAAGGTCACATGCCGTACAAATGGGGGAACCGCCAAACTGGACAGCATCGCGAGAACAAACTATTGAAAACCTAGAACAAAGCAGTAACGATTGAGATATAATGCATCAGTTGATTTTTTTATTTGTAGAGGTACCAGTTATCCGGTACGCTGTTGGGAGAACTCCATGGAAGTGGTTGCACGTTTCTGGAAATGCATTCCTCGACACACGCCGAAAAAATCCCCCATCTTCAGGATATAAAATTGACACCTGTTCATTGGAGCATTATATTTTGTGGCAACCCCCAAATTCACTGATTCAGGATAAGCAACCCACACTGCTTGGTGAATGACGCAATTACCTTTGTGTTCAAAAACCACAACGACTCTCAAAGTTACGATGGTGATGACGTAATGGATACAGTTTTCTGGCACTGTTTCTCCTTCTTTCTTCAAAGCCTAACTCAGGCTCTTGAGGTGAAAAGAACAGATATCGATGAAACTAACGTGTTAACGCTTGGGGTTAATTAGGCGAAAAGCAGTCCGAGCAATGGGCTTTATCACCTTGGACTGGGATGAACTAACGGAGACTATCCAGAAACCAATTCGATACGGATACGTGAATGTGGACAATCGTCGTTAGGTCAAACCGTCTCGTGTATTAACCGGTAACTTTTACTAATGAAAAGCATGACAACATAGGTTACGCGAGTAACCCACCCACTTGTGACCGCAATGAACTTCACATCCCGGCCGCTCAATGATAACCATCAACCGAGCTAGTTTTGCAATACGGATCATACATACACTCACCTTCCATCGTTCCAGACAAGCAATTTTCAACTCCGTTTGACGAGAATCGGTTAAACGCGGATCATGGGCGAATGCCAGGAGCTTCGATAGAGCTATGCATTGTTGTATGGCGAATCTGTACAGATATGATTAAAGGATGAAAGCAGATCACATGGCGCGATAAACTACCCGAAAACAAGTGGGTCAAGATGCATCTATAAAAACAACTAAAAAGGCTGTATCGGTCACATACTAATGCACGAAACAAAAGCTCGAATACGCAAATACGGGGATACCTATACGGACTTGATGTCTGGGATTGCATGCATTTTGAAAGCTGCTAGGAAGTTATAATAGAGCGCGGCTAAACTGTGATTTGAGGAAACAGAATAAACATAGTGAGTTAAAAATGAAATCGTTCAAAAACAGCATGAACTATCTGATAAATTGATTCACTGAATTTCCTTTACCAATTAGTGTGCGAAAAAAGAATGTATCACTTGCATTCTGTGGTTTCGATCATTTTCTTCCGTTGAGGATGGGATTTTCATTCAATGGAAAAAACATTTTGATACACGTAGAACTGCCTCGCCCGCTTAAGTGTATCTAAGCAGAGGTATACGCGAACCAGCGTGTCCCTAGGTCGCGGACGAGTGGCCACCAGATCGAATTTAATCGTGAATAAGGTGGGTCTAGGCTCACTGAATAAGCGTTCGCGGACGATCAGCGGCAGTACTTCATGATGTGGTTGTCTCGCTTACTACCGACCTGTAACCCTGCTTCCGGTGTTATCGAAAGTCATGGAGTCGATTGTGACAGATTCGCTGATGGAACACCTAGAAGGATAAAACATTATTTCGACAGCTCAAAATGGGTTCAGGCAAAAGCGATCCTGCTCCACCAACTTGCTTCTTGTTCACGATGAATGAACCAGAACAGTCAACGAATTGGATACGGTGGGTGTGATTTATCTCGACCTCTTGAAAGTATTTGATCGGGTAAATAACCAAATTTTGTTACAGAAGCTCTACAATAACGGTATTCGAAACTTCGTGTATGATTGGATTAGAGCATTCCTCCAACAACAAACCATATCAGTTAGCGTTTCTGATTCTACATCTGGATCTATCAAAGCCACCCGCGGCGTTAGCAAAGGGTCCGTACTCGGTTCCCGTCTTTTCTTCGCATCCATAAATGATCTACCGAATGTGTTAGGCCTAGAAACAATCTGGAATACAGTAACAGAGTACGATGGCTCTCTAACACTAAAAGACACAAGAGGTAGCTTATCAATGGTCGAAGGAGAATAACATTGAATTCAATGTTTCTAAACGCAAAGTACTATCTTTACGCCACAAGAGATCTTCGGGAAATAGGAGCTACCACATACCTCAAGTGAAAGGAATTTAGGTATAATTGTTCAAAAGGACTGAAGCCGCTTGATCAATTGCGCTAAGAATTAGTCCGCTGCTGTGAAGAATGTCGGCTTCCTTAGGCGTGTCTTTGGTCGGTTTTAATCAGCACTGTTGCCACGTTTGCTATTAATGTATATTCGACCATACACAGAGTATGCCATCGAAGCTTGGATTCCACAATTGCAACGTGATCGCAAGGTGCTAGAGCGTCCACAAATGATTGCCACCAAGATGGTCACGGGATTGAATTATCTCACCTATGAGAACAGATTACGATCATTGGGACTACATTCTGTTTAGTACCGCCGAATTTCAGGAGACTTGGTTTTGACGTATCAAATACTGCAGAACCCAAACCATCCATGTCGGTCACTGCTCATGTTATCGAACAATGTACACCTTAGGGGACACCGTTTCAAGTTACTGATTACAAAGTGTCGACTGGAATGCCGGTGCCAATATTCTGCAGTCAAAGCATGCAGTACTCGGAATACCATTCCATCTCACATAATTTGTGCACCAATTATTGAATCTTTCAAGCGAAGACTCGGTGAAATCCTGGTACACCTCACGTTCCTACATAACTGAAAACAAACGCAAATTCGTTGAAGACTACATGATCTGTAATCTCCCACCTGGAACTCTATGTGACAATTGATTTTTTCGCTGGTAAATGATTTAACTGTGTAAATATTCTATGGTGACACGAGAAGTATGAGCTTGTAAGTAATTCCCATAATAAAACTTTTACTTTGTATCTTATGATAGCACTGTTGCGTAACGAGTGTGGCCCGCCACTAAATACGACCATTGCCCCCTTGCGCATCCCATCTACTCGACAAGGTTCTCCAGAAGAGGCGAATGGACCAATACACCGGTCACCGGTTCATTTAGAACAACGCTACTGCCTCGTAGTTGGCGCTTGGGTGTGCAAAAGTTAGAGTTTACCCTGGGTTGGACAACCGAGTAGTATAACGACCCTCGACACATACACAAATGAACTATGAACTCCCTCTTATTAACCAATTAGCAATAACAGCTTTCTACACTCACAGAAACATTCTACACCTTGCTCGTCTCTCTATTTCTCAATTTGTCCTCTATATCACACCCATTCCCTCGTCCATTTTTAAATCCATCAGGGTTTTCAAATGATCGTACTAACATGTGTGCCTTACATGGAATTCTTGTCCCTATTCTCTTGTGCCCTGCGTTGACTAGCATTCAGATCCTGCTGAATCCTCCACCAGCTGACGCTGTTCTTCGTCCTCGATGGCCCTTCAAACCAGCCACATTTAACGTGCGTACTCTGATACGTATAGGACAACAGGCAACAACAGAACAACAGGCTCATACTCTCGAAATTCTAGCCATCGATGTTTGTTTGATCCGAGAGAATCACACGCAAGACTCCAGGTCCACCATTCAATTGACGCACCCATCAAACCGATTCGCGAATTTTCATTTACACCTCTCTGGGGACCCTGAGACTGCGTCTTCTTGTTGGCGTTGGCGGGGCTCTCAGTAAGAGAGCTGAAGCCGCACTCATCTATTGGCTTCCAGTCAACACTCGGTTATGAGCAGTGAGACTTGTAGGAAGTAAGCCGTTATCGTCGACGTAATTTCGTTGTCGTTTCAGCGCACGCGCCTATGAACTGTAGCTCAGATACAGTCAAAGATGAATTCTACCCAAAAGTACACGACCTCTATGTTAAAGTAAGCTGAACTGATATTGTGATTCTGGCAGATGTGAATGCTAGAATATGTCGGCTGCTTTCAAGAGACGTACACCTGGGAGATCCTTCCGGACTAGATTCCTTCGGCTCGGAAAACAGGGAGCGGCTGTCGGCTTTATGTACCGATAACCAGCTCTTCCTAATCAGTACGAACTTCAGACGATCTAACTACTTGGCCTCTGTCCTCCTCGAGTCATCAAACAGCGCGGATCGACCACATTGCTAGAAGATGTAAATTGTGGGGTAGTATAAAAGACTGCCGATCCTACTGTAGCATTCCCACGGACCCGTCCACGCATTAGTTTGCGCCATGCTATCCATGTGCTTCACTGGGTGTTCTAAACGCGTTGCACAGTGACGGTTAGACTGTAGCAACCAGCATTCTAACCACCTTTCAAAACGCGCTTGCTGAAAAGTTAGGATCAACCTCACCAGATAATATCAGTTAGCACTGATCAGTTATTGTGTATTTATATATATTATTATTCTCATATTATTATTATATGTAGTTATTGCTTTAGTTTGCACATTCGTGCGGTATATAGTGGCACAGTCATCACAAAACATTGGTTAATGGGAGAAGCATAGCACTACAGATAACGCAATGAGAACCTGACGAATCTAAAACTGCTCAGAGGCGCTTAGTTGTGTAAATCGCCAAAGATTGTAACTTTTGTTTAGACTACCCCTAAGTTAGGTTAGCTTCTAGGTCAGTTCAGGCTAACTTTACGCATAGGGCCATGTGGAAGCTTCAGAATAGGATGTCAACTGGAATTCCCAAAACTACAAAATTAGATCGCTTAAATACATTTTTGGTTCACCATATGAGGCTATAAACAGAGATGGTGGGGAGGGGTGACTTTCTCTCCTACAGCGCTATTAGGTAACATGTCGGAAACTTACTCTTTATTCATTTGTGTAATGAACCTGCTGAACGAAACGTCCTGTAGCAGGGTATTCGTATCAAAGAGTCGGATAATATCTTGTTTCGGACAACCTGCAGAGTGATCGTTTGAAGGTGACTGAAGAGATCCTAGCTTCTCATTGACTTGAAGCAAATATTCAATCACTTCACCTAACGCACCTGCCTGTTCACGGTCCAAGACCCCGTATTTGCGTCCAGTATCGGATAAAGTGTCGTGTTGGAGTCTACCACGACCAGGTAATTTCTGTGCCTTAGGTCGACCATACATTGAATCGCCAGATTTCTGATCGCTTTTCGGACTGGGTGGACAACCAGCCATCCCTTTAAGTGGAGAGCGGAGAGTTTTGCACAACAGATAGCTGAAATTGAGATATGAGATCACAGCATATATTGGAGGAATGATAAGCTAAATATACAAATTAAACGCGTATTTACTGCCCCATAGCAGAAAGCAGTGTGTTCCGGTAGAAACACAAAATAAGCATGTTTTGCCCGAGATGTCCTTAGTTCGCAACCCTTAATCGGTTTGATGGATTCACAATGCTGTTGCTGCTCCTGACGTCTGACAAAATAGAAGCAAACCTGTAATGCTATCCGGCTTTCCCGGTCCCTTTTTCAGTGCATATACAGGTCATAGATAGTAAAAATGAAGAAAATTCACTCTGGAACTAAACGGTGTCGATGGTAACTCAAATCTGAGTACTTCATCTTAGCTTATTGTTTGAAGCGAAAACTTGTCTTCCGAGATTAGTGTTGACCAGCTAGATCTAGAGTTTACACTGTGCAGAAATAAGCCGACCAAGGTGTATGCATTTTCCACATGATTAAAATAAATCATCAACAAAGTAAATCCATTTTAAGCCTTAATTCATTTCAGTTCAGGTTGGATCGTCCAATCGATGTCCTAAATGTCGTTGGCGTATCTGAGATCGGTCGGTGAATAACACCACGTCAATATGGTAAGGTCTGCATGGCAGAACACCATTACCCTACCTTTCCTCCTACCCCTTGTCCCTTAGGAACAATCTCCAATGGAGTTCTTCACTTCTCATTTATTCCACTCTACGAGAAGGCCGTGTACACTTTGATTTATCCCAATCCTAACTGCAACCATCGGGAACGGAACAAATGGTCCATGGAGTCAGAGTTTCCTTCGTGTCAAGCATATCTGTACAACTATGTGTGCATGCCATTATAATTATTATCCGGCAGAGAATAGTTTTATCGAAGTTGATTGATTTCGATCCAAGCTGGAACAAATACAATGATTGGACTAGACTTTCAAAGTCACAGTATTAGTGGCAGAAGGATTTGATGGATCGAATCACTCAACACCAATTCATGCGTGCAGCGATTCTTCCGAGACAACTTCGGAATGGTAGAAAACTTCAGCAACAATCCCAAACTGACCAGTTTCGAAGTACGTGAATTTACCGTTCAGAATTTGCAGGTCGGCTAGTGACGGGTTTGATGATGGCCACCTCTTCGAACAATTGTCCAATCAAATAGATTAGTCCAACACTGAACTCGGTGAACAGATCAAAAAGTTTGGTAAGGAAGAGTCCACCTGCAGGAAGAAAAATAACAGAGAACTGAGAGACGAGCATGCTGGTTCTTCCACAGTCAGAATCAAAATGAACACGGTTGAAAGAGTGAAGGTGAGGCTGGACGACTACAAAGCACCTGGTTGCGTGCACACTCTTTTCTCTGTCAAAAGTTGGCAATGCACCAAGAAAACGGTAAATAAGTTCACAGGTCACCACCGAGGTGTGATTGGATTGGCTATCATTAGCTTCGACATACTGCTTACGTATGGCAGCGAAATCGCGCCGAGTGACGTGGGCTATTCAGCGCCAGTCCTCGAATGTCACGTCATTCTACAATCTCTGACGGCTTTGCTATATTTGCATGGTCGAATTATCGGTCATGAAACTGCTCCATTTTTCCGTGCAGAATGATTGGGAAACAAACCGATGGGGTCAGTGAACAACTTGAACTTGAAGCCTGCAGGAGTTACTTAATTAAAGGCAGCCCTTTAAAACCAACTTTGATACCGTACAATTTGGAACCCCCACCAATGATTGATTACATTGTTGGCTAATGTGGAGAATCATAAAGAATAATATAATTTCAACACGCACCTTTCTATATACACTCACTAAACTGTGTTAGCTGCTCTTCTCTTGAGAGACGCACTATTACGCCAATATGGGCATGTATGTAAATGAGAAATTTGTTGTTAACCGAATCTTGTGAAGCACTTTGAAATTAGTGGAAGTTAAAAGTAAGCAGTGTAAGACTTGTTAGATAAGCGATATGCAAAATACACTTGTAGTTGAATTTTAGGACTCAAATCTCATATATTAAAGCACGCCACTAAGTAGCTCAGTGTGGACGAATTGACTCCACAATAGTAGATGCCTTTTAATTCAGTTAAGTTTGTAAAACCATTAATCATGCACTATCGTGCACCGGTTTTGGTTGCTATTTTTCGGCTGTTCATTTCGATGAACATTAGAAGAAAGATAGGAAAGGTTGAAAGTAGGATCGAAGAGAAAATTGAAAAGTTCAGTGGACTAATGATACAGCGAAAGTGAGATGCACGAATATATGGAGAAGTTCAGTGGACTAAGGGTGGGAAGAAATTGAGAAGATGCACGAATATCACTGTTTACGACACCCAGCCATATCACTCAGTGTCTCTAACCATCGGGTATGATCATCCCGAGGTCACCATCCAGGGAGCCTAACGGGACTTATGTAACCCAGACACCTGGTTAGGGTTTTCATACCTTCATTCCAGGCCTTAGCTTGAACACCCTGGACTTTCTTCCACCCAATACCTGCTTACGCGTGAGTGATGGTTTCCAACAGCTGCGCGGTGCTCCTAGGTTTTTCAGTAGTATGTGTGACAGAGTGAAGTAGCACAATGGATGACCTGGTTTACTAAA